GGGACCAGGGGGAATTCTACTGCCCCCTTCAGCCTTTGCCCTGCCCTGCTCTGCCCCACACACGCCCCAAACACTCCACATCTCATTAATGCTTACAATTCAGACTATTCTGCTGACCCACGGGTTTAGAGGGATGTTTGGGAAGGGAGAGAGAGATGGGGAGAGAGGTGGATGGAGGGAGGAGAGAGAGAGAAATTATGGGAGAGAGAGAAGAATGACAGAAAGGGATAAAGATAGGAGAGTGGGTGGTGGAGACGATGGGATGGAGGGAGAAGAGTGAATCGAAGAAAGGGTGAGAAGAGGGGACAGAGAGGGAGTTGAAGGGCGGGAGAGAGAGAATGAGGACACTGTAAGAAGAGGAGGAGAGATGAGAGTAGACAGAGTTGGGAGAGAAAAGAGAGAGGGATGAGAGGAAGAACCAGAGACAGACAGAGCAAAAAGATATCAAAGATGATGGCACGTCAGAAGAGAGAGACGAGAGGTGGTGAGGAGAGAGAGAGGGGGAGTGAAGAGAGGGGAAATTAGGGAAAGAGAAAATTGGAGAAGGAGACGGAGAGCGTGAGTGCTTATGGGAGAGAGAGAAGAATGGGCGAGAGGAGAGTGAGAAGAGAAAGAGAGGAGATGAGAGAGAAAAGAGAGAAAGAGTGAAGACAGTGGATGAAGACAAACGGAAGAAGCAACCGAGAAGAGAGAAAGTGGAGGGGGATAATCAGAGACAGAGAGAAGCCAAAAGATACAGGAGGAGAGAAGAGGGAAGAGAGGAGAGGAGAGAGAAGAGAAAGAAAGAAGAGACAAAAAAAGAAAGAGAAGAATGAAAAAAATATAAAAAGTCAGGATATCAGGCTAATATGGTTCATTTGAGCATGTAACTGAGCCGCTGAAGGATTTAGGGAATGGAGTTGACTGTAAGAAGTTTATGTTTTTTGGGGGGCTTGAGGAAAAGGTTAATGAGGACACAGACGAGAGAACAGGGCTTATAGTGACAGGGGCCATCAAGTCATTCACAAGTCCACTTATTTACTGTACAAGATGTTTGGTGTCTCAGTCAAGTCCTCCTACAACTCCGCTCAAACAGTGAGAGATACAGGATTACATTCATACCATACCCCATACAACTGTACAACAACTCACCCTTATGTAATCATTATTTCATCTGTGCGCTGTTTTCTCCTGATGACCTCTTGTATATAGCTGAGATATATTTGTAATACTATATTTCTATATTTTATGTTTACTTGTACATGTACACTATCAGTCAGAACGTTTTAGAACACCCTATTTTTTCCAGTTATTTATTACAGTTCAAGTTGTGCAAGTTCAGTGAAGAGCTTGAAATGGTACAAAGGTAAAAACTGAACCGACAGACGTTAGATAAAAGATACAAAACACAAGTCCGCGCTCTGCCAAAACTACCTCAGGAAAAAAGAACAAGATGGTGAGCTTGAAAACACGGAGCTTCCAGCACAGTGTCCAGACTTAAACCCCATCGAGCTGATTTGGGATGAAGTGGACAGAAGACTGAAGCAACCGACAAGTGCCACACATTTATGGGAACTTCTGCAACAGACTTGGGAAGAACTTTCTGAAGAATATTTGATTTCTATTGTAAAAAGAATCAGCCATGAGTGTGTTCAGCTGTTATATCTGCCAAAGGTGGACACTTTCATGAATCAAAAGTTTGGAATATGTTTTGGTCAACAGTAAACAGTAAAAAACTGGAAAAAGTGTGATATTCTAAAACTTTTAGTGTAGTGTACATTTATATCATTATGCCTTATTTGAAACCAGTCTCTTCCTATGTTTTCTGCTTATTTTGAATTTATTATTACCATTTAGATTTGTACTCTTTGTCATTATAACATATTATGATGTGTGAGCTACTGTGTCCAAATAATTTCCCCTGTGGATCAGTAAAGATTGTCTAAGTCAAGTTAATTCTGAAGTATGTTCAGACTATTTCACAAGAAAACCAAGTACCTGGCAACACTGGGTGAAAATCAAACACGTAAACAGGACTATGAAAAGGTAAATGGTCACATTTTTATATAGCGCTTTTCAGTCCGTGTATCATTCATTCATTCGTTTTTCAAAATAAAACCAGAAAGTTGTTTTTTCATGTTCTTATTTTTGGTTTTATTTTGAAAAACAAATGAACGAATGATACAAGGATTCTTTTCCACCTTCAAGGCACTCAAAGCTCTTCACACCGAGGAACCACTCACCCATTCACACACCAGTGTACACAGACACTAAGGGCAAAGTGGGTTAAATGTCTTGCCCAAGGACACAACAACAGTATTCATGTGTGAGAGCTGGAATTGCACTGCCAACCTGTGGGTCAGTGGACAAACACTCAACCAACTGAGCTACTGTCGCTAACACTCCATTTTGTGTTTCTTCTACTTCTTTCTACTTTTTGGCAGTGCGCATTATGTCACCACGGTAACTTCTGAACATTCCACCATTAAACATATATGTAGAACACCCCCTGAACGCATGAAGTCACTGTAAAGTATCAATAAGCTACACAGTGTTCCTACAGTAAACCAGTTTCCAAAAGTTGTTTAACATTTGTGAAACCCCAATGTGGCCTATCTCCACCACATCTCTGGCCTCGGTCTTGGGCTCTTCGGCTCGGTCTGGTGGCTGTGTTGTGGAAAACTGGTCCAGTGCGCTCCGTGTTTGTTTACATTTTCACTGTGAGCTCCTCTGAGACTCGCTGGTCCCTTTAACCCGTGGGAAGAGACAGGGCAATAAATAGCATCAAAAGAAAGTGGATACAAAGCCAACGCGAAACAGCTTGTATTTGATTTAATATGGTGTTTCATAACTCACCGTTAGATGGTGAAATTATTTGGCTTGTGAAAAGTCAATAGTGTTCATTCAAAAGAGAGAGGTGGTGGTTCAAATCCAGCCCAAACGCAAGTCTTTGTGTCCCTGGACAAGATACGCTAAACACAAAAAGAAATGTGATAGAGATAGTGTGGTAGTTAGTTGCTCCATGATGCGGTTTAGATTGACAACCACCTGCTTGTCTTCATGGAGATGTTATTGCTTTGTGTGGAATATTCCGCAGCATGGCATTTTACATAACTATCTTGTATTTATTCAATTAGCATTTTTTTAAACTCTCCACTTGGTTTGCTGGTGTCAACTGTTTGCATGCAGAGACTGGAATGAAAGTTGAATGCCATACTGTGGAGCATTCCAGGGAAAACATTAACATGGAAAACATTAACATCATCATGAGGATAAAAGCATTTGTCCACTGATCTGGAGGTTAGCAGTTTGAATCATGCTCATGACATAAACATTTTTGGGAAGGTGCCATCCACTGGCCCACAGGTTGGTGGTGTGATTCCAGCACCCACAGATGAATGCTGTTGTTGTGTCCGTGGTCAAGACACTTAACCCACCTTGCCTCCAGTGTCTGTGTACACTGGTGTATGATGTTTGATATGCATGTGAGTGGGTGAGTGGTTCCTTGATGTAAAATGATTTGAGTGTCTTAAAGGTGAGAAATTGCAATGTGACCATTCAATTAGCCTGATTCCTCAGCCGGTTTCACTTTGTGGAAACTGTCTGACCTCACAGCATTAGGATTAGTTTGCCACACAGTAGGCAGGTACTTTTTTTAAAAATTTAACCAATCACTGCTATTTGGTCGTGATGTATGTAATGCTCTGGAACGGTCATTGGTGTTCAAGTAATTGCCGGCATCACAGCTCTTCGCTGATTGTCCTGGTGCACGGTCTACAACTTCCGGGGTTCTTGAAAACCGTCTAGTCGCTGGAGAGAAATGAAATTAAACGGCCATCCTGGCTAATTTACTATGGACCCACCACCAGAAAAGTGACATAGTGCCCCTTTAATAAATTTAATAATAGTAGTAATAACAACGGTGACTCAATAATACACAAACCTTTAAAGTCACTTTGATAGCTAATAGAAAGGCCGTTGTTTGATATTACTACTGTGAGCTTAAGTCTCCAGCCTTGTCGAAGTTGAATTACATAATGTGTGTGAGGAGTGTTCAATAGAAGAGCTTTATCGCACATTATTATCTGAGTTTATTTAGTCCAAGGTCCAGGAGTGGTGTCATTATTGACCAGGGCAGTTTCCTGTGAACACTCAATAGAAGAGAAAAGCCCTTTGTCTAAAACAAGAGCCATAACTGTGATCAATAGAGCATGACCTGGAGCTCTGTTACTGGAAGCCTGCCTCACAAAAGCTGCTCTGGAAATAAACCTGCAGGGAGATTCTTATCAGGTGCTGAGATAAGTTTGTAGCACCCCCCCCCCCCCCCCCCCCCCCCCCCCCCCCCCCCCCCCCCCCCCCCCCCCCCCCCCCCACCACCACCACCACCACCACCACCACCCTACTGATTGTAGCCACTGTTTCCCTGGGGCAGACTGATGGAAGTTCGCCTGCCAATTTGTACCATCAGCCCCATGGACCACCACCATCACTCATGCACACACCACTTTCATCTGTAAGTACATAAGTTTAATATCACCCATGGAAACTCTCCATACAATGAAATAACATGTTCACAGTAGTGGACCCTTCACCAGAAACAATTAAACAGTGCACGTTTTGCAAATTATAGACTATATTGTGTCTTTATTTAGAAAACAGGACAAACAAAATGTAAAAAAAATTCTTAATATCCAACATTCTCATACAGTGTACCTCAAATGAATGGAGACTATAGTCAAATAAATGTCGACGTAAGAAAAGTGGTTTCATTGGAGAAGATTTGGCCATGATGTACAGTACAGTCTACGTACAGGCCCATAGAGCAACCATGCCCCCTAGCGGCCATAAGACGAAATGAAAAATAAGGTTACCTATTTTAAAGTTTGCCGTTTGTTTTAATTTGAAGGTTTTAAGGAAACACATTCTAGCTCATTTGAGCTTTCACCCTTTCCACTTGACCCACTGACTCTAGTTTAAAGGGGTGAAACCGAGCGCGTCATTTGTTGCCTTCATTGGTCGGACGATCCAAAAATGCGGCCCTTTTTGATTATTACTTTGTTATTAACAGTGGCGTTGGCCTATTACGTCTATACACCGTTACCTGACGCTTTAGATGAAAAATGGAAACTCATGTCTCTGGATGTAGTACTTCGGACTACGATGCACTATGTAAGTTTTATATTTTACATGCAAAACACAAATGAATTAGAGCTATTATGGCCTAAAGACAAAAATGTAGAGCTAAATTAAATTATCAACGATTTGTGCTTACTTTTTGTAGGTCAGAAAGTCTAGTACACTGAAGCTTACATATTATAAGGATGTTATGAGGGTATATGTTCAAATTGTTATTTATACAGTGGTGGAAGAGTACTGCAAATTTGTACTCAAGTAAAAGTAATGTTAGACGAATTACAGAGGGAGGGCTGTTGTTTTTTTCCCTTTTTACTATTCTCTTGTATCCCTTATTTCTGTCAAACCTGTACTCCCACATATAAAAAAAAGAAGAAGGAAAAAAAATATATCACAAAAACACAAAAAATGCAAATGGTATATGCGTGAGCATTATCTCTCCACTCACCTTTGATCCACAGGAGTAAACTGGCAGTAGGTGAAGAGTAATATGAAAGAAACTATGGAAACACAATCTAAAAAGTGCCAGTGCAAGACACATTTGCTTTTTATTTAAACAAGACAATACTATAACCTTTTACTTGTAAAAACATAATACAAAATGTTGAAGTGTAGATTTAGGGTGCATTCACATTTTCACACCACATAAAAATTGGGACTAAATTGCGACTAAATCTAACCAAGGCCAGAAATAAACCAGGACTAGAACAGGACTCATCTACATCAGTAAACTGGGGTCAAGTCAGGACCAGACAAGTCAAAGAATGAATGCACTCTTTGAGAAAAAAATTTAAAAAATAAATAAAAATTAAATGCTTGAAAAACTATGGTTTGTATGCATACATAGATCCTTCCCTTTAGTTCCTATTTAACCAAATAATTATAATATTCTATCAAAGAACCTCCAGTCAGTATATTTGAACTGTTATCTGGTTAAAAATGAACTTTAAAATGTCTAAATGAAATGAGCAATGCCTCAGCCATGATTACATGGGGAAAAGGGACGGGATACAACCACACACCAAAACTTAACACATTAATAACAAAACAAAAAAAGAGCTAAAGATCATGTTAAAAGAATATTATTACACAGATCAGAAAATAGCGTAATGTGTTCCCTTTTAAGTCCATATTATATTCTTGTCTACCTCCTCCAGGCTGCACTGAAGCACTGGCTTGGCTATGACCACTACATCCACACCATCAGGAACATCGCTGGGTCTTTAGATCCTCCACCTGATCCAGATTTCCTCCCTGGAGTTAAAGTAAGAGATGAGACTTTTGCTGGTGTTCCAGTGCGAGTGTATGAAGCATCTGGTGGAGAGGGAAGTCTGAGGAGAGGACTGATGTATTTCCATGGAGGAGGATGGGCCCTGGGCAGTGCTAGTAAGTGTGTGAATATCAGATTTACTTTAATCATATATTGGGTAGTCTATTTGTAGTGTTTGTCATCAATAATCCTTGGGAGTGTGATGTTAACTGTAGACTCTGCTCTGTCTGTTTCTCAAGTTAGATTGCAGTCTGAGCTTTGTTTTAATAATCTGACCATAAAGAATAGGTGAGATTTGTGCTGTTAATCTGTTTCACTTAGTCACTGTCACCTTTTTTGTTGAAAATCAAACACCTAAATAGAACCATGAACGCTTGTATCTATTACAGGTTCTTGAAAATATGTTGTTTAAATCCATGTTGTATTTTCTTGATTTTTCAGACTATTTTAAAACTGACTCAGACTGTGTGTAGTGGACCAAACAGAAAGGCAAAGACAAGGTATAAAAATAAGTTTAAATTTAATAAAGCCAAAAAAGATATAATTTAACAAAGGCTCAAATTAGGCAAATTATTAACAAAAAAGCTGGGCCCAACTGGGGTAACTCAAAATCAAACTGAACAGAACAAAACTAACCCAACCAGACAAAGGAACAGGTGTGTTTAAATACCTGAGGACCAACTAAAGCTAAACACAAGAGGGAGGAATTACACTAATTAACTAACTAAACCAATAACTTAATCAAAGTAAACAAAAAAGCAAATAATTATAATACAGAAAATAATAAGTGATAATAATGTGACCTTACCACAAACTAAACAAATTAACTTAGTAAAACAAACTAAATAGTGCTCCCCCCCTTTGCTGAGTTCTGATGGTCTCTCCCAGGGTCCTCCGTCCGGTGCTCAAAAAAACAAAAAGAACAAGTGTAAGTAAATAAGACTTATATTAACTAAAATGCGTGCACTCAAATTAGAACATAAGTCTAAATAACGGAATTAAATTATGTTTAGTGTAATTAACTTAATGTAAATAATAATGAAAATTAAATAATACTGACACTATGGAGTGGTGGCAGAGGTATCCACCACACTGTGTTTGCTAATGTGAGTATTATGACAACATGGTAATTGATGAACATTCTGCCGTAAAAACACAGACGTGGACAAGATTGTTGGTACCCCTCTGGCAATGAAAGAAAAATCAACAATCATCACTGAAATAACTTGAAACTGATAAAAGCAATAATAAAAACAAATTTACTGAAAATTGTCCAACAAAAATCAAACATTGCTTTTCACCTGTGGTTCAACAGAATTATTAGGGAAAAAATAATGAAACTGGCCTGGACAAAAGTTATGGTGCCCTTAACTTAATATTTTGTTGCACAATCTTTTGAGGCAAACTCTGCAAACAAACGATTTCTGTAACTGTCAGTGAGACGTCTGCGCTAGTCAACAGGTATTCTGACCCACTCCACGTAAGCAAACTGCTCTATTTGTCTCAGCTCTGAAGGGATCCTTCTCCAGACAGCACGTTTCATCTCATTTCACATGTTCAATAGAAATGAGGGTCACAGAAGAACACTCCAGAACAGTCCAGTGTTTTGTTCTCAGTCATTCTTGGGTGCTTTTAGCTGTGAGTTTTGGGTCATTATCCTGTTGGAAAATTCATGACCTATCACTGAGACCAAGCTTTCTAACGCTAGGCAATATATTTCATTCCAAAATACCTTGATTGTCCTGAGATTTCATTGTACGTTGCACAGATTCAAGACACCCTGTGCCAGATGCAGCAAAACATTCCCAGAACATAACCAAGCCTCCTCCATGCTTCACAGTAGGGACAGTGTGCTTTTCTTGGTGTGCTTCATTTTTGCATCTGTGAACGTAGAGCTGATGTGTCTTGCCAAAGAGCTCCAGTTTTGTCTCATCTGTCCAAAAAACATTCTCCCAGAAGCTTTGTGACTTGTCAATATGCACTGTGGCAACTCCAGTTTCACTTTATTAGGATTTGCAGTGGTGACCTCACATGATGTGCACTTTGGCGCAAACAATCATGGATCAAACACTGATTTACCTTGCCTCTCGGGTTAACATTTAATTTGTTTGGAGGTTATTCTGGGCTCTTTGTTACCATTCGTATGACCCATCTCTTCAATTTGTCATCAATTTTCCTTCTGAAGAACATGTGTAACTGTAATCAGGAACATTTAACTGCTTGGAGACAGTCTTATGGCCTTTATCTTTAACCTGCTTGTCTATCATGTTCTTTTTAGTCTCCTGACACATTTCTCTTCTTCTCTGGTCCATGTTCAGTGTTGATCCATCATGTCTCCAAACAGCACAATGACACACGTCTCCCTTTAAACAGGCAGACTGACTGAGGACAAGTTTGAAGACACCTGACCTGTGATGCAAATTAGAGGACACACCTAAATTGAACATGTCCCTATTGTGCAGTTACTTACAATCTTTTCTAGGGGTACCATATTTTTTGTCCAGGCCAATTTCATTATTCATTTATTTATTTATTTATTTTTTTGTAATTCTGTTGAACAACAATTCAAAAACAGTGTCTGATTTTCATTGGTTATTTTTCAGGGAAATTATTGTATTTGTTATTTTTCTTTTCTTAGTTTCAAGTTACTTCAGTCATTAAGAGGGTTACCAACCATTTTGTCCACGTCTGTGCAAGTAGAACACCCCCCAGTGTGATGTCACTGCAAAGTATCAAGTGAAAATTTCTGTTTCAAAGGAGACAAAAGGAGGAACCACCAGAGCAAAGTATTAGTACACTTATATAGGGGTGTAAGGATATCCAAGTCTCACAATATAATATCATCACAGTATGAACCTCATGGTACGATATTTATTGCAACATTTTGTGGAGGCAAACAAAGCTGTGAATATGTGACTTTTTCCTCTTAAAATGCCTTGAGAAGACTTAATACAAAGACTTAAAAGTGCTTAGAACTGTTATTTCTTCATGTAGTCTGCACTGAAATGGAGCAAAGAATCGTGGTCTCTGTAGCTCCCTCTGTATTTTCTAGCTGCTGTTGCACCATAACTCTTCATTTAAGCAAAGAGACTTGTGATTCAATATATTGTGATGGTCCACAATATTATTGTGAGATCTTTGATGATACAGTATCACGATATTTCGATTATTGTTACATCCCTACACTTACAACAACTTACTTATAATAAAATGAAAACTAGGAAAAGCAATAACATCTCCATGAGAGGGTGACAGACCCTCCAACAGAAAAGTTACATAGTGCACCTTAAACTATCACCCATAAAGTTTGATTTCATGAAGGTGGTCACAAAGGGGGCTGTAGATGTATCTAGACACTGGAGATCACTTCACTGTTGTTCATTTAAATCAACAGAGGGCTCGTCTTACGACAGAATGAGCCGGATCCTGGCTCATGAGCTCAACGCAGTGGTGGTCTCTGTGGAGTAAGTAGCTGCATTCAATGCATTTACTGCCACTACAATCTATGGGTTTGTTAAAGGTCCTATATTACAGAAAATTTAAGTCATACTGTTACCTAATCAAAAAAATACCTGGAGTTGTGTTTTATTTCATACACACATCTTTGAGTAAGCCTCTATTATTAGTCTGTCTACAACTCCAATGCTCAAAATGGGCTGTTCTACCTTATGATGTCACAAAGAGGTAGTTTGAAGTTAACAGCTACCTTTTACCTTCAGCAATAATAGTATTACAGGACACATGACATCACAAGATGGACCAGAGTGTCTTCTGTTTTAGAGAGCAGCCTAAATATGCAGTTTGTGTGCTAAACATGTGTGAATGAAACAAAACACCTCTCCATGTACGTTCTTGATGAGAACACAACATTATAACACTGACAAATAGATAGAAAATAGTGTAATATGTAAATGAAAACTTTTGTGTAAAGCAATATTTTTGCCCTTGATGCTTGAAGCTCAACATTCCACTGTACATTTATGCACACATCATTTCATTTGTGTTGTAGATACAGACTTTATCCAGAGGTGCAGTTCCCGGTGCCATACTTGGACTGCCTGGCAGCAACGAAGCACTTCCTGTCCTCAGAGGTTTTGTCCAAATATTCAGTGGACCCAGACCGAGTGGGCGTGTCTGGAGACAGCGCCGGGGGCAACCTGGCAGCAGCAGTGTCTCAGGAGGTCTCTAGAATTATGAGAATATAATGATTGTGTTTATAACCCGTGGTGTTGATCTCATGTCGAGGTGTGAGTCAAAATTAAACAGTCAGGGTAGGAAGGATGTGATACAAAGAATAGAAATAAAGACAGTTTTGAATTTCATTGGTTCAGTTAATATACAGCAAATGCTATACTTATCCTGTATACTGTACTTATCAAATGTAATTCAATAGGCAACATTATGTCTTATAATCTTTAAAGATAGGGCATGCAAGAATTGTATTGGAGATTTCATGAAGTAAACATGACCTGTTTCCTCAGATACAAAGTAAACATGTTCAAATCAAATATTGGTATATACTAGCTATGTTGATTTATTCTTGGTTACTAAAACATTGTACCAGACTCAGTTTGTTTAAAACTGGGGTAAAAGTACTCTGATCTGAATCATCACTACCTAAACTCCAGCATCTGCAGCTATTGATCAGTGTTAGTGCAGCCTCTGCAGCTCAGTGAGGGAATTTTGGAGGCGCTGAACTTTCACGTGACACGTGGCCTGTTCATATTCTGAGAATGAGAAAACGTGTATTTTCTATCTCTATTATCTATATCTTAAAGCACTGGCAACCCAGGTTCATTTGTGATTCCTAAAGCAGTGACAAGTTAAAAATATCTGCTCCATAGGTACTGCTTACTAATCTGATTTGTTCTTTTTATTCACAGATTTCCCAAGGCCCTGACATAAGTATCAAATTCAGTGTCCAAGCTTTGATCTACCCTGCTCTTCAGGCTCTGGACTTCAACACTCCATCTGATCTCCAAAACCATAACATCCCTGTGTTACCTCTAGATGATCTGATCAAGTACTGGATGCAGTATTTAGGTATTGACCTATCATTACGGGACCAAGTTAAGTTAAACCGCCACAGCTCCCTACAGCAGACTCATCTCACCCCTGAGTTAAGAGCTCGATTTGACTGGAAAAAACTGCTCTCTCCAAAATACCACAAGAACAACAAACTTGTGGTAGCGGAGAAAGGGTTGGCTGGTATTATAGAGAGGGTCCCTGCACTGTTGGATGTCCGTGCCTCTCCACTATTGGCTGACACAGGAGTATTATCCAAATGTCCCAAAGCTTATATTATGACTTGCGAGTTTGACGTGTTGAGAGATGATGGTTTTATGTATGCTCGGCGCTTAGAGGAGGCTGGGGTGCAGGTGACCAGTGTTCACTATGACGATGGGTTTCATGGATGCTTTAGTTTTGTCTCAAATCTGGAATTTAAAGTGGCACAAAGAGCAGTGAGAGACTATATGAGCTGGCTACAGGAAAATCTGTAGAAATTTCATTAATTTATGCCAGTGCTGGTCCTATATTATATAAAATTAAGCAACCCTTTATAATTAGTCTGTCTACATCTCCAAAGCTCAAAATGCTCTGTTCCAACTTGTGGTGTCATGAAGCAGTAGTTTTCTACTTTTTTCTTTTAGTTCAGCAGACACTGGCAATTCCAAGGCTGATATCTTCCAAATGATTCTAGTGAAGGTGAGTTTCAAAACACAGTGGAGCACTTCCTGTATTACCACATGACATCACAAGGTGGAACAGTGTGTTTTCTGTTTGAGAGAAGAGTTTAGCATAGATTTGCAGGATTGAGTTTTAAGATGTGTGAATGAAACAAAAGACATCTCCATGTATGTTTGTGATGAGACCACATTATAATATAGATAGGAAATTAGTGTAATATGTGCCCTTTAACCTGAAATTAGGGGTTTCAATCAATCAAACAAGAATGACATTACCAAATAAATATTCTTTAATGTAAACAACAAACACTTAAAATTAAGGCAAAATGCAAATGTTTTCTACCACTATACTTAGCTGCACCTCTCAGTGAAAACCCTCCCAAAATGCACTGAATATGTTTTTAAATAACATCAAATACACAATTTACACATAATTTAACAGATGTGAGACCTGCAAAAAGAAAGGAACATGCACTAGTTAAAATGTCATGAATTCAGAATATTTGTTTTGGGTAGGCTTAACATGATTTGATTAATTTTTATCCTGTATTTTTATTAATTTGCTTTAGATTACTTCACTTTTTTAAAAGATATGTTTACGTTATATTTCAATCAAAAATGTCTGCCAGGAGAAAAAGAAAGGAACAACTGAGATAATTAACCTAATATTGTAAACAAATGACTGATCTGAAAATAAAAATATTAAATGCAAAAGAAAAGTCAAATAAATCAAGTAGAGTCTAATCAATAAACCTTTCTGAATTCTCATCATTTTAACTCATGCACATTTCCATTTGACACTGTACAACTGTAGCCTGATGGGACCAGGAATATTTCTCTCTAAATGTGAATAAAATTAATATGCTACAGTTGTGTTTTGAGGATTTATTGCTGACCATTTCATATTAAATAGTGTTATTTTATTTTTTATTTTTGTTAATGTGTTAAAATGTGAATATTAAAAGACGTAACCACTTCACAAACACAACAGATAGATATGCTCAAAATGTCACAAACAATTAAGATACATCTAAATTATTTAGAATTTTAAGAATAGAATAGAGTGGAAATGTTTTACAATTCTTAGTAAACACAACAGGGGCCAAATACTGTAGTGGTACCTACTTTAGTCCTTTCAACCTCATCTTAAACATGCAACTAGCTCATAACATTCAATTAAATTTTTAAAGTTTTTTATTATTTGCAGAAGTCCTCCAATACTAATGAATGCTAACTTTACAACAGGGCTGTCAATCAATTAAAATGTTCATAATTTGCTAAAAAGAACAAAGCAAATAAACATTTGTAGGCCTCTGGTACTAGTTAATGTTGAGGAATTATCAGAACGATCAAATGAGTTCAAAGGTGAAAAGTCCTCATAATGTCACCAGGAAGCTGAACCCATACTGTGGTTTAAATCCATGAATTCCAGTCAGGACATTCCCACATCAGGACTATAAATGTTTTAAGTGATAAAGGTCTGGAAAATTGTTTCAATGCCCAAAAATCTCAAGAAATCTTCAATAGTGGAGTCGTATTTTCAAAATGCGTGCCAATCGAACATGGTACATGTATGTGAATTAACTTTTTGCTCTTTCATATTTTCTTCCTTCATATTTTACCAGTATATTATTTGTTATTTCATGATGTTTATATTTACAGCCACATACTGTATTTAACAATTTTGTGTCAAGCTTGAAGAATTGAATCTCCAACTTTTAACTGCTAAGAAACTGGATACTTTACAAACCAGGTGCCATGTTGTTGTCATTGTCATTTTCAGATATGTTACAGAAACTAGCCAGTGTAAAATTGCCTTTTGTAACCCCTTTCACCAAAATTACAAAATGTGTGAGATTTTCAAAAAAGCCAAATATGTAAAATGAGGAGTAAAATGGACTTGTCTATTAATTTCCTTCAGTTTAATTTTTGTCGTTATTATGTATACTGCATGCAGACGTGCTGAAAATAACCAAAAAAAAAAAACAAAAAAAAGAAAATAAACAAACCAAACAAAAAATGTGATGAAAATGAAATAAAATTTAATGATTTATGTTGAAAATGAAACAAAACAAACATCAAAACAAGGAAAAGTAATCAAAACTAAATAGTTAACAGAATGCAATTTCAGAAAGCACTCATTAACACTTAGTAAAAGCCTATTAACCGCTAGAAACAGAAACAAAAAACAAAACAAAATCAAAAAGAAAAAATCAAAATAATTCAGAAAAAAAAAATCAATAAATCAAAATAAACTGCAAACTTAAAGATGCACTATGTAACTTTTATGAAATTCCACCTGCTTATCTCCAATAAGATTTTGCTTTGCCTTGAAAGTTTCACATTATAACATAGAATTATTTATTTATTTTATTTTATTTATTTTTTTATTCATGTACGCCAATCCACAGATCTAACATGTAAATTTTCCTAGTGGGGTCAACTGCTTATCTGCAGGAAAATCGACACGTTTGATGTGACACTATGGAATATTTCAGAAAAGGTAGCATAATCTCTATGAAGATAAGCAGGTGATGGATCCTTAAAGTCAGAAAAGTTACGCAGTGCCCCTTTAATAGTTTTACTGAGTTGGTTCAAACTTAAGTACCTCTTCTCAGACTTCCTAAATGCTGTTTCTAGTCCAGGCCTGATCACCTCCCTTTGGTCCATTCAGACTCCCTACTCCATACTAGGCCTTAAATTTAACAAACCAAAATAAATCCACTTTAGCTATCAACATAAACCACATTTCCATATAATTACACTGTTTGATATATGTAGTCAGTGGTGATATTATATTCATTAAAAGCGCTTTGCTTTTAGACAAACTGGAGGCAGCATCTTTAAGAGTCTTTAAGATGATAATTTAAGGCAACTACTTCTAAATAAGAGTTGATTTGAGGAACATCTCCCCTCTTCTTTAGACTATAAATTACCATTAAAATACTTAAGAACAAATACGTTTTAGACATATTTTACATTTACTTGAAACCAAAACCTTCTTGTATTTTAAACATTTTTGCATTTGTGTGTTTGATGCTCTGAGATAGCAACACTGCCCACAGACTGCAGGAGCTATTTAAAAAGACAGTTTCCCAAATACTCTAATGCAATACAAAAGGTGCAGAATAGTGATTTTTACAAACTTTTCAAAATAAAAGCCTGGTATATGTCGCCTCCTTACCACTTAACTCACTCGATTGTCTCTTCTCTTACTTGTGTCCCTTGTTGGTCTTGAAGGACACTTGCAGCACCTTGTCTCCTAGACGATAACCGTTGAGGCTTGCGATCGCCATGGATGCCTCCTCGTAATTTGTCATAGTAACAAAGCCGAAGCCTTTGCACTTGTTGGTGTTGAAGTCGCGGATGACTTTGACATTTGTGACGGCACCGAACGGACCGAACATTTGCCACAGCACGCTCTCGTCGGCGTCCTGCGTCAGGTTGTAAATGAAGATGCACCAGCCGTTGTTGCAGTTGCCAGGGACCACACCCCCCATCCCACTCATGTGGTCCACACCCATCGGGGAGAACCTGGGAATCAAGGAAAAAATTAAGATTCATTTTAACATTGTAGTACCCTCATAATAATTATTATGATCATAATAATATGCACCATCTACCCTCCTGACCATCACCAACACTCAAGTAAACACTACATTCATATAAACCAAAGTAGGTGAAGTGTGTTGCCTAAGGACACAACAACAGTTTCCATTAGAGTTCCTGTGGCCCCACTATCCCACTTATTCCCAGTGGTCTCCCATCCAAATACTAACCAGGCCTGACCGTGCTGTTTTAGATATCTGACATAATAGGAAACGCCATGTAATATATGAGTATACACTCATATATTACATGGCGTTTCCATTGGAAATATTTATAAGGTTATTTCATGTTCGTTAAAAGATGCAACACAATTCTCAATATAACATTGAATCATTCAATATGACCTTCACAATGCAATACAAATAAGTGACTAGATACATGCATGTCACTCTTCCAACACCATGTATCATGACACACTTTCACAGATACATAAGGAAAACAGCCCCATAAAAGACCCAACTCAGCTATTATTTGAACAATGAGTACAAAGGGTTATTGAATAAAATGTTATGGTTATTGATAATTACCATCCTGACCCATGTATCGAAATGCATATGGAATTGTGAGAAAACTTCATAGTTGTATCCCTAATGCTCAAACAATTATTCTGATTGGTGGTTAATTTTCAGACAGTATTAAAAAGCTGTGAGCTATACACTTGTCTCAGCCACACAAGTTCCAAAAATAGGGATATATTAACCAGAGAAAGGTCCTGAGTTGCAAAACAAACATGGTGGCTTGCGTAACTGAAGAAATGTTTGAAACAGGTCAAATAAGAATCATAATGAACTGAATAAGAAAAAATATGGCTAATCAACTACTACTGCCTCAGTATGTAAGAGTTGGCTTGCCAACCATTTAATGTCCATTTAAGGATTAAATTTTCAATCAAAAAGGTCACTAAATGAAAAACTGTTGGCTAGTTCATGACTTATGTAAATTGAGAGGGACCTGTTTAACACAAATGAGCACAAATGTTGTAGTTCCAAATAAATTAGTTCTTTTCAGGTCAGAATGTATTAAAAAATTGCTCAGATTAACTTGAGAAACAGAGATTCAGAAAGAGCAGAGCCTCCAGTTAACTTCACCCTCTATACATCAGCTGAAAGTGATCAAAAACAAGATCTAATACAAAAGCTTATACCTGAAGCGCTGGGCCTGGTGGTGCAGAGGTCCTCCGAATCGCCTCGAGGGGTTGGGCAACACCTGTGGAGGGACGAGCTGAGCGTTCTTCATCTGGTTTGGATTCGCCGCAAACTTCACGATAATTGGCTCCGTGGCTCCGGGAGGTTTTTGCCCGTTCAGATTTTTGATGGCCTCCTCCGCCTCTGCGCGCTTGTCGTATCGGATAAACGCAACGCCACGAGACGCACCTAGACGCAGAAAAACAAAACGTGACACTGACCAAAAATCATCTAAGAACTTTCATTTATTGATACCTTGCAGTAACCTCATGCTGGGGGTGTATTTCTATCCATTTCTAATGTTCAGCAGTTACTATGGTGAGATAATACACATTAGCAATAACTACCAAAATTGTTTCAGATGGATTTAAACAACACATTCGTGAGCCTCTGATTAACATGAGCATAGTCCATGGTCCATGGTTAGGTGTTTCATTTTGAACAAAAAGGTGAGCGTGACCAATTGAAAAACTATTGCGTAATTCTAGCTAGCTTGTAACTGTAATGTAATGTGTGACTGTAAGAGATTTGTATAACAGCGCAAATCATCTCACCTGTTTCAAGGCAATAAAAACAGCAGCAACATTTAATGCCAGCTGTGGAACATTCCCGGTAAAGCAATAATATCTTTATGGACCCTCCGCCAGAATAGTATAGTATACCTTTAGTTTAACAAATGGCATTTCTAACTCCTGTGACCGCTGACATTTGATAATTCATTCATTCAGTAAAATATCAACATTTTCAAGCTATTTTTAAACTTTTCCCTACACTGCAATTCTCAAGTTTCTTACATGAAAAAGGACCAATTATAGAAATAGCAAGGACGTCAATCACCTTTCGTACCTGTGCCCTGTTCTATAAGCAGACGCGAGTTAATGATCTGTCCGTATCTGGAGAACATGTCCTCCACATCCTTCTGGCTGAGACCGCGAGGCAGGCCGCTGATGTACAGGTTGGCATCTTTAATAATGTCAGAACTCGGTCGCGCATAAGAAACCTACAAAGAACAAGCAGCAAAAGCATTAGAGTTTGATAGGAAGAGTTACTGAAGTCAAATTAATTAGTGGCTTATAATGAGGATTGTTTTGCTAATTATTATCCACTTAGAATTGAATATTTTTATATTATATATATAATATATATATATATATATATATATATATATATATATATATATAATATATATATATATATATATATATAAATAAGTATACATTATTTGATATGTTTTTAAACATTCATATTGTCATTTTCAATTAATTAACCAACCTTATGTACAGTTTTGATAGAAAACTCTGACGTGTGGGGTGGAAGCATTAGAAACATTACAGCAAAAATAATAATAAAATAAATGAACATCTGAAGGGGATAAATAAAATGAATGTAGGGCTGGGCATAACGCATAATACCACTGTACATCGTAACATAGAGAGACCTCTGTAAGATATTGGGGGATTTAGTTTTTTTCATAAGATACATAAAAATTTAAATATAAAATTGTTATTCACAATAAAAAAAATCAACATGGTGACTTGTTATTGAATTCAATTCCATTTATAACCCATTTCTCGTTGCAATTTATCTAAGTATTATAATGTCTAGTAAGTCAATAAAAAATATAAGTACTTTAAGCTAAAATCTGCCAAATTGTGGCTTCTTGGTAAGAGAATATTTACATGTAGTATTAATATTAAGAAAATAAGAAAATAAGGTATATCTATTTTCATTACAAATCACAACAGATAATATAATCATATTTTATTTTGATTAATAGCAGTGCTGTGAGTCTGTTTATATTGCAGGTAACAAGTAACATTTATAAAAATAGTCATTGATCACTTCAGTAGACACAGTCTTATTAAATGTTGTTGGCATATGGTAAACTGATCATTTATACAGCTGTTTACTGCCCAACCCTAGATGGATGTACATAGAAACCAACAGAAAGCATAAATATAAAATGTATAAAAGTTAAAGTAAAACAGGTCAAATTAAAAGGCAGACTGAAACAAACATGTCAGAGGGCGATCAGTGAGCTGGAGAAGCCTCAGGACATGTACAGGGACTAGAGCTAGTTAGCAACAGCACAAGAGCCACAATAGAGAGTTATGACATGAACAAGTTTGCTTTGAGAATTGTAGAACACCTGTTTGCACGTTACCTTGATAGTTTTGGACTGAAGTCTTAGTCCATTCAGAGTACTGATAGCTCTTTCTGCATCACTAGGGTTTACATAGTTAACAAATCCGTACCCTAAACTGTGGCCTAGAGGAAAAAAAAGGAAAACAACAAAATAAAAACAAAAAAAGTTCAAAAAAATCTGTGAAAAAACAAACAAATCATTAAAAGCAAAAAACAAATCCAAACATTGCGTACTATTCGAAGCAAACAAATTGAAAAGCTATTGGAAGTAGAGTAGAAACAAATAAAACAGCTCTAATTAAGGTAAAATTATTTGGAAAACATGCCCAAATTAAGTAGGAAACAAATTTGATATTTAAAACAAATTTGAAAATTCTGAAAACTCCTGCTATAAATAAATAAATAAAACCCTAATGAAAATTTACAAGCTAAAATTTGGTTAAGCTACTTTTCGTGCTCTCCCTTATCAGGTCTGTCTTATTTGCATATTGGGTTGCTGTGGCGATATCCCTCCAAAGCTGGGGCCTACCTTGCACTTTGTCCCGAATTAATTTAGCAGAGTCGACCTCCCCGATGCTGCTGAAGAGGCTGTGTAGCTCCTCCTGTGACATGCTCTGGGGCAGGTAGTTTATGATCAGATTGGTCTTTGCATCCTTGTCCCCTTCTCCACCCATGTGATCTTCGTAACCGTTCGACATGTCAAAAACCTCCTGCTAAACAAAGAATTGGTACATGGTAAATGCTCACATTTATATAACGCTTTTCCACCTTCAAGGCTCTCAAAGCACTTTACATCACGGAACCACTCACCCATTCACGCACACACATTCATACACCAGTATGCAGACACTGGTACCGAGGTGGATTAAGTCTCTTGCCCAAGGAAACAACAGCAGCATTCATCCGGGGGAGCTGGAATCACACCACCAACCTGTGGGCCAGACAATCTGCCCACTCTCCAAATTATGTGGTGCCCTTTAATCTTTTGCACATGTTTTTCCAATGTGTTTTTTACTTATAAATGGCAAATAAACTAACCTAACCTAGAAGGACCAAAGTAAATAACTATTAAAGGACTTCTTATGAGCAAGAAGTATAAAGATAACGTGTCTTGCTGAGTATATTTTCATCCAGGTTGAATTAAAATAATCATCTAATCTAATGAAAAACTGTACTGTAGTTTATTCGGATGCATTTATGCATTTAGAGCAGGTGTACCCAACAATTTGGGATGTGGTGACACAACAAGACAATAAAAACAAACAAATCCGATATTTTTAGGCTGATACATTTAACCCACTTGACTACCAATATGCATTCTTGTTTAATTACAAGACCAACTATTAGAGGCACGAAGGCAGCATTAAAAGTCTTAAAATCTTATGTAGCCTTTACTGTTTAGGAGATAGTGCTGTGAATGTGACCTGGCAAACATCCATTCATGCAGAAAAAGAGGGGTGTAATTGTGTGGTCTGGGGCTTCGGAAACACCAGCAATGAATGAAAGGTTTGTATTCGACCATGAGCATTGACTGGAGTGTGTAGAGCCCCTGTTTGAGCTTGGTCCACTTGTGACAAACTGATACCAGTAAAGCATGTTTTTGTTGAATCAAATGTAATGTAATGATATATATATATATGTACTATTTTCTTTTGTGCATTTGTATCTCATTTTTACTCTGCATGAGGACATTAAGGACCTAGAGTATACCTAGACAACAATACTTACTTTTGTGAACTTTGAATGTCCTCGAATTGCCATGAAGACACCTCACTGCTCTGGAAGCTAGAAAGCATGAAAATTAATTGACGTGACAAAATGATCAAGAAGACACATAAGTCATCCAAGTAAACTGGATAATTCCTGGTTTAAAGGTCCTATATTACACAAAATTGACTCTTGTGAGCTTTGAACCATGTTGCAACCTCCTCAAAAACATAACTGGAGGTGTCTTGTTTCATTCACACATGCTTGAGGAATCCTTTATTATTAGTCTGTCTTAATCTCCAACGCTCAAAATGTTCTGTTCCACCTTGTAACATCATAATACTATAGTTCTCAAGTTACTTCCTACCTTTAACCTTTTTCAATAGAGACTGAATTTGGTCCTGGAAATGCCAAATGATTCTAATGAAAATATATGGAGTTTAAAAACAGTTAAAAACACACACACACACACAGTGGAGCACTTCCTGTATTACCAAATGACATCACAAGTTGGGTTTTCTGTTTGAGAGAAAAACTCTAATATACAAGGTTTATGTTTAACACACCCACCCTTTAATAAAAACAACAGATTGCACTAAAAACAACAGATACTTATAATTAAGTGCTACACACAAAGGCAGAGCAATTTTGAGTTTACTATTCATGGTAATTCTGCGTACAGCCTGAACCCATTCATTCATCACTTACAGTAGCGTGAGAAAAACACATACGCCCCCAGACGACAAAAGATCGTTGTGTATAAAAGAGACAATGGTTCTTTCTTACCCCATATTAATACACGTGTTAATTTAATCGATCAGTAACGTTACATTAAATGTTTGCTTTTATTTGTCACTTTAGAGTTATTTCGTGTTCACACTGTTTGGTTTGCACGCATGTGACGCGCGCAGGCCTATCACCAAGGCAACGTAGCAGCTAATGCTACTGTACCTTTTGTCTACACCAATTAATGAATTAATTTGATTTACCAGTCACATGTTTTGAATCATGTGAAGTAAAGAAAGGTTCTGGTAAACTCATGTCGAAAATTGTATATCAATATGTGAAGGCAATGTCTACGATCCGTAACAAAAGCGGCCTGTCCTGCAGCTAGGCTAACATTAGCACAAACAGCTAACACCACGCTAACAAACAGGCCACACAAGCCGCATTTCACATCCAGACCAAACGTGAAACTGCTGAATACTCCACGTGCGGGAATATATGTTTTTTTCTTACCAGTTTTTATAGATACTCGCTTCTCGCCTCCTATTAATCCAGTTTAATCATCGACAGGGGCTAGCAGCAGAAGAACAGAGTGGAAACACGAAAATGCGACGTGACCACCGCCGCACACTGTCGCTGTGCTGCCCCTGATGGTGCCACGCCTCTGCACCGCACCGTAGGCACGCTGATGCTGCTCATACAAAAAACATTTTGTACATGTACTTTACCTTATTGTGCACACATTTAATTTGATATTCCATCATATTTTTTACCATGGTCATAACTCTTATATTCTCCTTTTAGGATCCAAAAACCGTTGGGAAGGAATTTGTAAAATACCCTAAAATGTCCGGGGATTTGACTCTCAACCAGCCATCTTTGTGTGAGACACTTTTCTTAGTTTTGGCGACAGTCTTGGCTCATCTGATCATGAACCATATAACCATGGAAGTACAGTTACATCCATGGATACAACAGCAGCACTTCGCCAGCTGCGTGTCTGTATATATGGCTGGCTGTATATATTCTTTATACACTCTAGACTGTGTGTGTATATGTGTGTATATGTATATATATATCGAGCAATAGAGGCCCAGATCTACCACACCAGACAAGACCCACGGTGTAGACTGTGCAAAGAGGCTCCTGAGACAGTCCAGCACATAACTGCAGGGTGTAAGATGCTGGCAGGGAAAGCATACATGGAGCGACATAACCAAGTGGCGGGCATAGTGTACAGAAACATCTGTGCAGAGTACGGGCTGGAAACCCCAGGATCAAGGTGGGAAACACTTCCAAAGGTTGTGGAGAATGACCGAGCCAAGATCCTGTGGGACTTCCAGATACAGACTGACAGAATGGTGATGGCGAACCAACCAGACATAGTGGTGGTGGATAAGAAACAGAGCAGAGCCGTGGTGGTTGACATCGCAATACCAAGCGATGGTAATATCAGGAAAAAGGAACACGAGAAGCTAGAGAAATACCAGGGGCTTAAGGAAGAGCTGGAGAGAGCCTGGAAAGTAAAGGCATCAGTGGTGCCTGTGGTGATCGGAGCACTCGGGGCTGTAACCCCCAAACTGGAAGAGTGGCTACAACAGATACCGGGAAAAACAATGGACATCTCAGTCCAGAAAAGTGCAGTACTGGGAACAGCAAAGATACTGCGCAGAACTCTCAAGCTCCCAGGCCAGAGGACCCGAGCTGAATGAGGGTGAGAGAGACCTACCACCGTGGAAGGTGAGAAACACATTTTATATATATATATATATATATATATATATATATATATATATATATATATATATATATATATATATATATATATATATATATATATATATATATATATATTCCTTATACAGTATATGGTGCAGTGTGCAGTGTTTCTTCTTCTCTGAGACACAGACAAAGCTCATGTCTGTGAGAAGTGCACAGGAACAGGGCTCTATCAGAGGAACAGGAAACCACCACATGTATATTACCGCCATAATAGCCCCGTGCAAACTTTAGATAGTTATTATACTTTCATGGATAGTTGCTATGGTGATTTCCGATTGCCAGGTGAGTGTGGGCCACATGAGCACTGGTCACGCATGCTGGGTACTTTTAAATATGGCACGCTAACCACTCAGGTGAGGTAGGAGGCTGGGTAGCCGGCGGATACTCTTCCAGGTGAGCTTTACTTGTCCGATTTGTGGATTTAGAATCTTATATGGATATGAAAAAGAATGCACTACATGCCTGTGCGTCAACTTGCTCCACTGCTCTGATGTTTGACGTTTATACAATGTCAGTGTGGATTAAATAATGCCATGTAATGGAGTTTCAAAAGGTTCACTTAAAAATAATATAATATTGAAGTAAAAATCTGTCAGACAAATTGTGCGGCCTTGTATCCTGAAACGGAAGAAGGAGATGCAAACTCATGAAGAGGCCCATTTTGAATAAAGCTGAAATATATGCAAAGTGTTTTTGCATATATTTTCATTTTAAAATTTTTGTTAATAAAATGAAGGAAACAATACCGTGAGCCTTAATGTCAAATGTCTTAATGTCAAAAAATGGCATTAATTTCAAAAGCCAAACGTGTCTCAAATAAAATCCCTTGGTACTTTGGAAGAAATGTGTGAAAATTCCATCACTGTTCATAAAGGAGTCACTACCACTTATTTACAAAGGATCAAACCATGGAAAAATTAACAGCTTTCAAATGCTATGAAATACTGTGAATGACTTAATCATCATGATCATGGGTCATTGAAATGGAACACAATGACTCACAGAAACAAGATTTATAAGAAATGAATTGAATGGAAATTTTAAGGAAATTAATTCAAACTTTCCAAACATGAATGAAATAAGTGGAGAATAAAACAGCTTAACCTCTCAATGTCAATGCTGTTTATTCCATATTAACTAAAACAAAATGCAGTTAATGATTTACAATATACACAGCAAATTCGAGTGTTAATTCAACTCATATATTGTTAATTTTAACACTTTTACCATGTCATAGGGGTCCACAATAAAATGAATTAAAACTGTACCTTTACTAAATACAATGTAAATGCTGTGGCCATTCTAGTTAATAGCCCCTTTTACAAATGTAAAATAATGAAAACCACCACAAAATTCCATTTCAAGTTAACTTGTATTAAAACAATGCGCATCATACAATCAACACAATTTAAATAAGTAATATGGCACAGTACTATTTTTGCTAAATCCAACTGACAGCAGGAATTCTCTGTGCCCTCAACAGTTGGTCACAATGATTGTCATTTATTTTTTTAAAGGTGATTTTTCAATGCAAGCAGACGATGGATGAATCAAGATCTTGTTTTGAATGAAATTAAGGCATGCTCTTCTCCAAAAATGAGAGCAGCATATCTGACTGTTTGAAACAAGATCTTCTCTCCATTATATAAACATAACAATGTTCACAAGTCAGTCCTGCTAATTATGAAACATTGACAATGCAAAAACTTTTTACCTCAAGAGTCAGTCTTTTGACACAGCCAACGTCCATGTTGTAGACAGTTCTTTGAATACAGGTGTAAAGTTTGTGTGAGTCTGAAGACCAAGTGCTTTGAAGTGTTCACCAAATTCAGCCAGGTCAACGATGACATAAAAAACCTTTGTCCTTCCCCACTTCAGTCATATTTAATGAGCCATGAATAAAAAATAAAAAGTAAATATATAGTAAATATATTATGGTGCATATATCATTATTTGTTTGTTCCTATTAAGCAGGTTATTCAGTTACATGAGCTGTACGTTTTTGTATACAGGAACCATTCAAATAAATAACTTGAAGGGTAATTTGAAAAAATGTAGCCCCTTAGAAAAGATTTCAAATTTTTTTAAATTTTTGCATTTCTTGCCTTTTTTAAATGCAAGACCCACAAGAAACAAAACACCTAAATGCCATTAATCACAAAAATAGAATGAGATTAAGACAAAAATGACAACTACTTAGCACATATATAAAATTCAATTAGTCAGTTATGAAATTATTGGTGAGGTTACATTTCAGTTCTACATTTAACCATTTCATGACATACCTGCAAATCCCTGACGAGATGGTTAATGGCTTGAGCCTTCATCTTTCCACTGTAGCCTTTAGGAGCTAGGGATGCATGTGAACCAGCAGCAAGACACTCACCTTAGAAAATACAAAAAGAATGTATCATTACTCTTTTTGACTAAAGGTCAATAGCATATTAAGACATTGTATTGGATAAGACATCATACTTGAAGATATTTTATTTTTACAGAATACTAACCTGTTGATTCAAATAATTTTAATAATTTTCCACTTGATACAATATCCTACCTCAACACACCACACAAAAGTGTGCGCATTTATAAGTTATTATTAAAAGAAATGTGAATACAGTGAATGAATGCAGCCCCAAAGTGTGAAAAACACGTTGAAATCTCGGAAAAGCATAGCTAACGAATGCCATCTTGCCCTTCACTTCAGTATAGACCCGGGTTCCGTGTCGCGGCCATTAGATTTTCATTTGGAAATGGAAAATCAGTACTGAGAGCAGGCAGAGATAGGTCCGTGTGAGGGCGTCTGCATTGGGGCTGCTTGAGAGCCCAACAGAGAATGTGATCCTGCCACCCTAACCCAATCATGGACCCCTAACTTGACATTCACCCATTTCCGCCAGTAAAGCTGGGATAGAGGTTGGCCTAAAGGCACCACAGCAGACCCAAAGCGCTTTTGACTGTACCCCATCTAGTCTTTTTAACACAGATTGAGAAGCAACCCCAAATACTACACACCCGTAGTCAAGAACTAGTCTGACCATGGCTCTGTAGATCATTTGGAGAGTAGCCCTCTCTGCACCCCAGACACTCCCTGACAGGCTCCTCATAATGTTTATCACCTTCTCCCTTTTGTTAACGACTTTATCTATAAATTATACATTATACACTGCACCTTGGGGTGTACCATTTTCTGTCTCTACTATATCTGATAGTGTGTCACCTACCCTTACCTGAATTGTCCTATCACATAAAAAACTCTTTATCCAACTGAACATCCTGCCGTTAACACCTGCATCATAGAGCTTAAGGAGGAGTCGCTCCTTCCATAAACTGTCATAGGCCCTTTCAATATCTAAAAAGACTGCTGAAACGGCTTCTTTATTGATTATTGCTTTTCTCACATCTCTATCCAGTACCGCTGCTGAATCCATTTTGATGATTCACAAAGAACCCACTGGATTTGAGAAAAAACTCCAACCTGTTTGCAACCATCCTCTCCATCACCTTACAGAGCACAGATGTTAAAGCTGTAGGCCTATAAGATGCTGGAGAAGACGGGTCCTTTCCTGGCTTCAAGATTGGAGCCGCAATTGCATGTTTCCACATTTTGGCAGGTTGCTAGACTCCCAAACGTAATTAAACAAGGCCAGAATTTCATATAAAACCTCCTCACCCATGTTCTGCAACAGCTTGTAACTTATTCCATCTTGTCCTGGTGTCGTGTTCACTCCAGCCTGTATTGCCTCTTCCAACTCTTTTAAAGAGAAGAACAAGTTATATGAGCCATTTGTAGCCACCCCTCCAGACAACTTTGAACTATTCTTACTTAGAGTATTATCTCTTAGCCTTAAAAGTGCTTGGAATTATGGACATCCTTAAAAATATTTACACA